CATTTTTTTAAATAACTTTGACTCTGTTCCACAATCACTAAAAAGAAAACCTTGCCTTCATCTCACTGGACTCCGCCAAATGATTAGCAAGGCTCTGTGATGCTAAATTTACAGTTTTACTTTCAGACACTAAGTATAATTTAAAAGATTCTAAGGATGTATCCTAAAATTTGTTTTTGTGTTAATGAAAATACAGCCTAAAATAACTAAAAGAGTGGAATTGGAATGTTCCTAACACAAAGAAATGTTAAATGCCTGAGGTGATAGATACCCCAATTACCCTGATTTGATCAATTCACATTGTATGCCTGTATCAAAACATCACATGTACCTTATAAAGATATACAACTATTAGGTACCAAAATAATTAAAAATAAAAATTTTTAAAGGAAAATACAGCCTAAAGATTACTTGAAAAGATTAAATAAACATTTAACATTTATTTCATGGTCTTCAGGTACAGGTATTTTTACTGATGGAGCAGGAACTCACTGCTGATGAAGACATATCACGGTAATATATAATTTATTTCAATGTATTGTCAGTTTTTAATATCCTGAAATCATCTAGAATGTTACTCAGCAACTAAGAGAGTAGAGATAGTATTTGTCTGAATACTACATTTAGTCCATTTTTACCGAATGGATCGTGTTTGGATATAGTGTCATTTCACTTATTCCTTAACATTTTAGACTAGATTAATCTATCAGCATGTATGGCCTTTGGCCTCTAGACACAAATTTAAATCAATACAGTATTGTTTCAGCTAAATGAGCTGTGTTGCTTTTGGTAGGTCAGATATGGTCCCTGAAACATGGCAACATATCGCAAAAACCTATTGTGGTAGGTAACCTGGAACCAATATATGTCCAAATATTTCAGAATGGTCCCAACTTAATGTACTATATTGCATTCTTTTTAATATAAGTAGTTTTTTAATGTATACCTAAATATGATTTTTATTTATATAGAAATTCTTATACAAATTTATAAATTGAAAAGATCCTTGAAGACCATATGTCTTGAATATATTTGTTCTTCTTCAGTGCTAGGTTTATAAAAAGAGTCTCTGGTACTAATAACTGTTTACTGTTATAGAAACCTTCGTCCCCACCATCTTTGCAGAAAGAAATTGAGGAATAATGAGGTTTCTTGGTTTTACAGTTTGCATTTTTGTATTTGAGGGAATACAAGTTATTTACTGTTTTTACATTCTTAAAATTTTGTATTTAAGAACAAAAATAACTTAGTCATGACCTTGCTTAACAATTACTGGTACATTTATACCAGGATGATTATGAAAAATACTAGCTGGCACTTGCAAATTTTCTCGAATTCCCTGAGAGTAAATGGGTGCAGCTGCTGACTGTACTGTCCCCTGCTTACAGGACTTCAGGCCCCTCTGTGGCTGGTCTGGAGACAACATATACAGGAGGTAATGGCTTTTCCACTTCATATAACAGCCAGCGGTGGTTAAACCTATATCTCTCTGCTTGCAAATTTTTGGATTTGGCTCTGGCATTGCCTTCCGAAAATCTTCCTCAGTTTCAAATGTAAGTAAAAATGAAGATATTAATGAATACTTTTGAAAATGCATTTGTTTTGGTCATTGACGTCTAAGCCTAATTTAAAGTTCTTTGTGTATGTTGAAATAGTCATAATTTTTACTAAAATTCTTTTGGCAGGCGGGTGGGCAGCACAGTTACTGGAAGTAAATGGTTGATGTGGCTATATTAAGATTAACAGACCATTCAGTGAACAAATCGAGTACCCTCCCGGATGTGAGGCAGTGGATACATGTCTCACAAGCTTCAAGTCCAGTGAAGGAGACGTACAGTTGAACACAAGATGGATATTACGGGAGCTCATGTACAAGATGCTATGAGGCCACACAGTAGAGATCCCTCCTAGCTTTCAGGGTCAAAGCAGGCCCCAAGGGGAGTTTTAAACTGTGAAGAGTGACAGCTAGTAAAGGTGCATGTGCTGAGAAGACAGAGGCAGGAGGGACCTGGTATGTTTCAAATGTGGAAAGATCAGTGTTGCTGGAGCAGAATGTTGAGAGAAGAGGCTGGCGAGGGACTAAATTATGTAAGGCCTTCTAAGCTGTCCTAGAGAATTTGGACTTTAAGCACAGTGAGAAGCCATTGAAGCATTTTAAGGAATGAAGTAATGTTATTAGGCTTGCATCCTAGAAAGTTTATTTTGGCTATGTAGTGTGGAGAAAGGACTGTAGATGGGCAAGACTAGAGACTCAAGGGGGCTGTTTTTTTTAGATGATAGCAAATTGAACTGAAAGGAATAGGGAGATAATTGATAAAAGTAAATTCTCACAGTGCCTTGTTCATAAATGCTCAAAAATATTTATGGTTTTTCATATCTAAATTTTAAAAATAATAGGAAACTATGATCTTATCAAAATATAGCTAAGGTAATTTGAGAATTTATCCATGAGATCAAATATGTATTTATATTATATATTATTATATTGTGTTATATTATTCTTTGGGAATGGAATATTAACCAGGCTGCTTACATTCACCAAAGTAATAAGAACTCTACTCTTTGATGCTCTGGGAAAAAGGACATTAGATAGCGTGCTCATGGTATTGACTTTTTATCTCCATGACAAGAACCAAAATGACTTTATCCTTTTTATTTTTCAAGATGTTACTACAAAAAGGAAGGAAACATGCCATAATATTAGCTACAGTTTTTTAAAATTTATGTTTTTAAAAATTAAAAAAATCTATAAAGCAGAAGAAAACATGGAGAATTTAATAATTTAATAATCTTGAAAGTAATA